CAACTCCTTGCAATTGCCTGTTTGTAACTTACCATTAATAGGATAATTGTCACCAGGAGTATCCTTGGTCCCTCCAGCTTCCCTTCTTATTCGAATTTTGCTAGGTCTAGGAGGAGGAAAATGAGTATAATGATGTACAATCCAAGAATCTTGGTTGCTAAATAGTGAGTTTGAGTTATCTGGCATACCTGCAACCCCATAGGATAGACCTACAGATGATTATTTCTTTCCCTCGGGATCAACAGATTCCAAGTTAGCAGGAATCCTTAGTTGAGATCATTGAGTGTCATCCTTCCATTCACTAGTAGGTGGAATTCTTTCAGCTAAAAGAGGAGGTTCAATCAATTCATAACATTCTGCTGGAAGAAAATTATGCATTTTGGGATCAGCAGCTGGCTTGCCCTAATCATTATAGTGAGTAAGTTACAATTTTTTCACCATTTGTTTTAGCTTGTCTCTTTTTGGAATGAAGTTTTAGTTGATGCATAGTCAACCTATTCTACTGCATTAAAATGAGTTGATTATATTTTTATCATCATTAAATTCATGGCCAAAAACTTCAAGTTTGGTGTTGATTAAATTGTGCCCGCACTGAATAATATTTCTGGCTCCGCCTTGGGATCCAGCACCCGGGCGAGCCCTGCGGTCATTCGTGTTAGTTCCATCGGAGGTATTTAAAGAATTGTTTGTTGTTTCATTTGTTATATAGCTTGATGGGCAAATGTCGGGAGACGGAATTATTGGAGGTGGAGATAATGCCTTTAATATTTTCTTCAGTGAAACCAATGATGGGAACATGTCCCGGGGCTTTTTTGTAGATCTAGAGCCTACTATGATTGATGAGGTTCATACTGGTGCTTATCGCCAAATATTCCACCGGAACAGCTCATCAGTAACAAATAGGATGCTGCCAATAACTTTGTTAGAGGTCACTACTGTTAAACAATACAAAGAAATAAAGAAAAGGAAAAGGATGCTAGGGTTTCATTAATTCTGCATAATATAATCGAATACAAAAGAATGATTTAATTTAGAAACAAAGCGACTATATATAAGCTAAATAAAGAAAATTGAAAAGATTATTCTACCATTAATAAACAACAAAATAAAATAACCCTATATTTTTTAACATCTCCCCTCAAAATCATAATACTGCTGCAAGAAGTATCGAGAGTTTGCCAAACAAGAAACGAAA